GGGGGGGAAGCGCCTTTCTCCTCATGTTGGCCTCAAGGGCCAACATGAGGGCCCTTTTTTTAAAAGGGCCTTTAACTTTAAAATTAAAGCAGGTATCTGCAGGCTTTTTTCACTGTGAGTTTATGTGGTAGGACTGAAAGGCTTACTTGACATTTAGTGAATGTTACAGTGTTGAGGGTTTTTGTTTGGTTTTTAGTTTGTTGGTGTTTTGTTTTGTGCTATTCATTTTGGTGGTTTAGGAGCAGATTTTGAGTTATTCCTTCTCCCAAGCGGTGATGGTGGAAGAGTCTGGAGTGATAAACTTCCCCCTGGCTTGAGGCAAGCGGGCCTTGTGAGTTGGAGAAGTGTGTTCACAGTGAATCCTTGTATGCTGCACTGGTGGCTGAAGGCAACTCCCTGAGCCATAATAGTGTAAATTCATCTGTTGTCTCTGAGTGTGCTGGAGGAATGGCTTGCAGCTTTGTAAAGCTATAAATGAGTGACAAAACCTGGAACAGATCAATTTAGGTTAACTTCTTGTATAAAACTAAGATCCATCAGAACAGAAATGTGTTGGAGCTGTTCACTGTGGTGCACAAATCATAGCAAGAGTTGGCAAAATACTAAACTGCATCAGACTTCTCATTTAAATAGAAGGCTGATGGATGAATAGCTAGTATACCATTTATGCTACTTTATCTCTTAAGATCCCTTCTTTGTATATGACTGGCAGTCTGGTACACTTGAGAAAAAAGTAAGGTTTTTTTTAATTCCAAAAGGGGAATGAATTCTATTGGGCAGAAGTCATTCTTTCAATAAAACTTTATAAGTGCTGTTTTCTTCAAGTTCTAAGTTGTGAGATCAAACTTCAAATAACATGTGCAAGCAACAGAAAAATATCTACTATTGACTGAGAGAATTAATAATAACTGATATATCTAATTGATATTGTTCTGCATGTCAGTCTCTAATTATAGTCTGTGTAGGAAGAATGGGGCAACAAAAGGCAGATGGTGGCCTTCTGTACACTGGAAAGAATGCTAACAAAGTCTAAAACCCATTCTTGTTATGTGCAAACTTTCTGAAGTGCAAGCAGCAGGTGGCAAGTAATATGTAAAATGTAAAAAAAAATGCTACAGGTATTTTAATTTAGATGTAATGCACAGCAATTAAACACAGGCTTTCTTTCTGTATTTGTTATGAAAATGATATTACAAGAAGGAAAATATTAATTACAAACATTTCATAAGTAAAAATGTTTGTCATAAGTAAAAGTGGAAGTTGATGATGCCTATAAACAAGGCAAGGCAAATTAGGTCAAGGCCTAATTGTGCTTGTAAGTAAACAGCCATTCTGACTGGGGAGACTAGTTGATAGGACTACAGTCCTAATACTGTCACAGCTGTTTGGAAAACACATAGAAGAAAGTTTGAAAAATGAGCTCACAGAGAGGATGGGGGGAGAGGAAGCACTAGATGACTAAAACCCGTTTCAATAGTTGATAAAGCTACTCTGAGACAGAAATGCATCTTTTTTAATGGAAGAGTAAAGGGAACAATTAGAAATAAAGAGCTGTGATAAACTTTTTTTTTTAAATCAGGTGTTGAAGCTGTCCTCTGAGCATTTCCTAATCCCATTCTAGCTGAAATGGGTCAGGTGCCCTTAATAATTATAAGCATCTCTTGACTAACCCAGCTAGTATTAGAAGTTGTCCCTGTGTGAACTAGAAAAAGATCTAGTTTCGCCATAAGTAATCACTTTAGCCTTGGGGTGTGGATGTGGACTCTTTGACAAGCATGCTGAGTTGTATAGACCTTTTAATGTGTCTCCTACTTTTGCTACTAGTGTTTCTGTAGAGGCCTTTGATCCATTAAGTGCAGTTCTTACCTCCTGTCCTGCTCCTTTTTCTCTCCTGGTTTCAGCTGGTAATGTAAAGTAGGGTGTTTTCTCAGCTTTCCCTTTTCTAAGCAAGGGTTCTATGATGGGGGAAAAAAAAGCTAATCCTGGCTTTAATTTAATGTTGTCCTGCCGTGTCAGTCCTGTGCTGTTTCTGGTTGCAAATAAGTCTAAATACGCAGGGCAGGCAGAGGGTTGGAGGTGAAAATGATGCCTTGCTGTAATAGGAGTTCCAGGGACAGTAACCCTCAGGGACTTCCAAACCCAGGTGCCTGGTGTCCTGCTCAGTCTAACTGGACAGTGAGCTAGCTAAGAGATTTGAGCACCCTCTACAAACAGAATTTAATTTATGCTGCTTTATATGCTGACATATGTTTCTTGGATTTAGATAAAACAGATGTATGTACAGCTAAGCCTCTGAGCTATAAAAATTGAACACTGTGTTAAGAGCATGAGGGTCTCCTAGCAACATGAGCTTTAGATTGGTTGTTGTTTGCATTCATACTCTTCCATAAATAACAAGAAGCTACTACTGAATTTACTGCATCAACTCTCTTTAACAGATCACTTCATTATATGTCCTTCCTCTATAATCAAGTATAATGCCCTTCCAGAATCAGTAGAAACACAGCAAATATATTTAACTAAAAGCAGCCAGTGATAAATTGTCTTATTTAATGTTAGCAGGAAGCCAATAGGAATATCCTTAAATCAAAACTGATATAAAACTGAAATTTGTCCAAAACTTCTGCTGTACGTAGTGTCACACTTAATAGATTTCAAACCTCTTCATTTCCTGGTGATGAGTTCTAACTGTCTAGAGCTGTGCAAATAAGTTGTATTAAGGTGGTAGCAACTTGGATCTCTTCTCGTATCCACAAATGTTTTTTTTTTTTTAAAAAGTAGTTGTGACTTCTAAGTTAGTCAAGTTATCTAAAAATCGTAAGCAGGATTTTTTTTTTCTCATTCATGCTAAGACTGGTTAAAAGAGCAGAAGTTGATTTGAAAACCTGTAAGCTGAAGGATGTTTTCCAGTAAGTTGGGTTTTTTGCTTTTGTGATGTCTTAGTATTTTATTTTATCCCACAGTACTTCTAGGCTGCAGAACCAGCCTCAAAGGCACTATGGAATCACCTCTCCCATTAGCTTGGCTCCTCCGAAGGATATAGATTGCGTTCAGACTCAAAAGCTAGTTGAAGCAATGAGACCATTTGGGGTATTTGAAGATGAGGAAGAACAGAATCACAGGTATAACAAGACTGTAAAATTTGTTAAACTCTTGGGGTTTTTTTTTAAGGCAAACTTAAAGTGAGTTTTCTTTACAGGCTGGTTGTTCTTAGTAAACTGAATAACTTGGTCAAAGAATGGATTTCAGAACTTGGTGAGAGCAAGGTAAGGATTTTTTATATGTTCTTATCAAAACAGCTGGAGCCTTTTTACTACTTTTAGTGGCTGTACTAGGATTTATGCTAAAGTTCAACTTCTAACCTTACTGAAGTATTGAGTAGAGCTGTAGTAAATGCTGTTGAAATTGGGTATAAAAGATACTTCAGGTCAAGATCTTGAAGTCTTTGGGGTGCTGAATAAATTTGTGAAGTGGCTCTATCAGTTGATTTGTAGCAGTTAACAAAGCTGAAACAATATATTGTGGGGTGAGATAGATGGTAAATGGGCACTAATATTGCTCCAAGCAGCCTACAGCACTCAATCTAGTTGAAATTATTACACTAGATTTGCCTTTTGTATAGCTCTTAGATTGTGTGAAGTTAGTGCATCTGCTGCAGGGAAGACTAATAATAGGTCTTAATTTGTGTAAATTAATGAAAGGACTGCCATGTTACTCAGCTTTTTTGTTTTTTTTTGAGTTGCAAACACTCACCAGAAAAAAAACAGTAACAGTCTATTACACTAACAACTCAGTGTGGAAGTGAGAAGACATTGTTTATGGAGGCTGTTGTAGTCTTTCTAAATAACTTGTAAGCTAGTTAAACTTGGTTAATGTGTATCTTGTGTTCTAAAGTAAACTTTCTCTTCTACCCACAGAATCTACCCCCATCAGCAGCAGCAAATGTTGGTGGCAAAATATTTACGTTTGGTTCTTACAGGCTTGGAGTGCACACTAAAGGTAGAACTTTTCTTGTCTGGTCCTAGTTGTAATGTTTGAAAGTGACTTTCAACAATAACAGAAGAAATGGAATCTCTTTGCAGGTGCTGACATAGATGCTGTTTGTGTTGCTCCTAGACATGTGGAAAGGTCGGATTTTTTTCAGTCATTCTTTGAAAAACTAAAACATCAGGAGAAAATAAAAAATCTAAGAGTGAGTAAGCTCTCTCCTTGATAGATTATGCAACTTCTACAATTCATGCTAAAGACTCATATTGGTAGTGAATGTCTTACAAACCAAAAAAAGAAATTGTTTCTGAGCACCTTCTAAAATACTATTTTATGCAGCATGAAAAGGTTGAAGTCAAGCTTTTGGTTCCTTTCCCCGATGACTGTATATCACATAAGAATCTTTGTGGTACGCTTCTCCCCTACCCATGGTTTAGGAGTGATTCAGCTGTATCAAAAAGGAAGGTTGTCCCCAGGAACCTTTCTTTAATCTTAGATGTAGTAAGGGGCTTGGAAATGAGGTAATTGCATGCAGGAAGAGGAAGGGCAGCCTGAAAACTAAGGAAGTTGAATGTGATGTGGAAAGGATTCTGTCAGTACCTTTGCCATGAAGTACCTCTGGATGTACTTTAGGATGTCTAATTCATTCTTCTCTGGTTGCTTAGCCCAAGACTTAGCAGAAGGGATGCATGCTATCAGCTTCACATAAAGTTAATAAGGAGCTGTGCTGTGAACATATAAAACTGCTTTGTAAAATCACCCTCAGGTGTGTATGTTGCATACCTTGCATGAAACTGAACTCCTGAGGAGTGTTTCCCTTACCCTAGTCTTCCTGGGACAGATATTTTGAAAGACTTCATATGCATAGCTAACAAGCCTGGAAAGCATTGTTTAGATGACTATCACCTGGAAACAGAGTCACAGTGGGCTGTGGCACAGTTCTAGTAAGCGGTCTCCAAAATTGAAAACTGTCCCATAAAGTAGCTGATAGTATCAGGTGTGGTAAAAAAAAATACAGGAGACTAGTGCACACTGTCAAATGAGGACACAAATTTTGTAATTTCTCTGGTTGTTAACTAGTAGTAAGATAGCTACAGAAATGGCTTACTTTTCCTCACTACCAAGGTGAGTACCTCACAACCCCTGGCACTGATGTCTCATTGTGCAGTGTTTGTTCATTAAAATACACGATCAGCCTCTGAATCTCTTGGCTAAATAACTTCTTAAAGCTACTGTTAGTACTGTATTAGTGCTATACTGCTTGCAGCTTATTAACAATTCAATTGGTTCAGAAGTAATTCAGTCTTTATACTGAGTAGTTAGCATTGTAAATTCTGCATTGTACCATCTTTTATGAAAAACATTAAAGTAGCAGAAGGTGTTTCCTTACACAGTTATTCTCTCCTTTACAGGCAGTTGAAGATGCTTATGTGCCAGTTATCAAGTTTGAGTTTCATGGCATTGAGGTAAGCATTTCAATTTTTTTCTTTAAGTGGGTAATTTTTTTTCTTGCTTTGGAATAGGATACCTTTTCCAGTGACCCGTGACTACTATTTTGGAAGGTTATTGGTATCTTAGAGTATATTCAGTTAACTGTAACTGAAAAGCCTGACTACAGCCAATCCTGAGAGAATACATTGCAGTAGAATGGGAGCTTATAGGAAAATAAGCCCCTAGGAAGCCTGGCTGCTTGAGTAGCATTTATCTCACAAGGATTGTGCAGAGGGGGAGTAGAGGCAGTGTCCTCGCTAACTCTTATCTCTGGCAAGCTAGCTTTCCACGAAGGGCTGTGTATAGTGTAGTTCACTGTGAATCACGTGAGCAGACTAAATGTTTTTTTGTAAATGAAAAATGAAGCGGTTATGAGACAAACCACCTGGAAAATGAAAAGTACTCATTTGACACCTGCCTCAGTCTGTCAGCTGCAGGAATCCTTGTATCTTGAATATATCTTATACAGTCAGTAGACCTGCATGCTGTAGTACCTAAGGAAGTTACTGCTTGGTATCACTATCATGAAGACACTTAGTCAGTGACCTTTTGGGGCCTTTATGTGGTACAGACATTCACAGAATAATTTTCTTGCCTCAGACTACTAAAAAAAACTCTTCAGGATCAAAAGGGCTTATTGCATAGAGAACTCTCTCCTTTGCCGAAGTATAGTTAAAGTGATTGAACTTACATCTTAATATTATGATTAATTTTAAGTTCCCTTTTAATGGAAATTCTAAACTTAGAGTATCTTTTCAACTTAAAAAAAACCCACCTTCCTTTCCCTAGCTTAAAAAGAGGGGATGCAATGAAGGTTTTGTAGACAAAATATGGAATATCTAGCAATTTTCTTGAGTTGTCTGGCAAATAAATCTTTTTGGGACATGTATCTGTAGTCACATAAATTCTAAATTCAAGTGTTAACCACTCTTTTTTTAGACTTGACTAGTCCCCCACTAGTGTGCTGTTCACAAACTGTGGCATTCTAACTCACAGTTGCTGTGCTTTTTCCTCTTAAGATTGATCTTGTGTTTGCAAGACTGTCTATGCAAACTGTTTCTGATAATCTTGATCTTGGAGATGACTCGCGTCTGAGAAGCCTGGATATAAGGTGTATACGGAGCTTAAATGGTAAGCATATTTACACATCTTTAAAAAGGAAGTGTTACTAAAATTGGTATAGAATGCACATTACACAACCCAAGTTTCTGTATAAGGTGCAGAAACTGATCTCCTATATACTCGATCTGAGGAGGTAGTAAGTGGCCTTAAACTTAGATGTTTCGAGGAGGTAGCAAGTGGGCTTCCATTTAGAAGTCTCAAGGATCTGTGTGTTTAGATAGACCTGTATTTCATGTTTCTTTGATCAGGGTGTGTGCATTGTTCCAGTTTGCCACAGAAACTACTTCAGGTGACTAGGTAGAGCATTTGATAGAGAAGAATGTGTTATAGTTCATAAAAAATATTTAGACTTCAGATATTTAAAATACATAACTTGCTCACTGTTTAACACAGACTGATCTAATTCTTCCTGGCTGTTGAAAGAAACCTAGCTTTCAGACTCCTGTAGAAAGGCCGCCTTAAATTGTTGGCTGTAGTCTAAACTATAAAAGAGCTGTTAAGGGCACCAATTACCTGAAGTGATACTGAATGTTGTATGTAATCTATAACTTTTTAAGGTAAGACAAAGCAAGTCATCCAAACTTGTTTTCATTGACTTGAATGTTAATCTGTAAGCTATTGATCCAGTACAGCATAAAACTGTTGCTAGGAACTGCTGTACTTTTTTCTTACAGGCTGCAGAGTTACTGATGAAATACTACATCTAGTGCCAAATAAAGAGAACTTCCAGCTCACGCTCCGTGCAATTAAACTGTGGGCAAAACGTGAGTAATTGTTCATAGCCTCTAAAGTTTTCAGAGGCATCTCATTCTGAAAAAATAAGACTGCTAGAAGTAATTCAGCTTTGGATACCATTTAAATGACAATTTTAGAACTAAAAAATTTTTTTTATTTAAATTCAAGGTATGTCCATGTGGTAGATCCTGTGTGGTTTTTTTTACGGGGATAGAGTGGGGAGGGGAGTACCTACAAGACAAGGTGTTGCGTTGCTTATCAGGAACCTGACTACAAATGATAAAAATGCCAAGTGAAGTATAAAAGCTCGATACATAAGGAATAAGAAAATACTGTTGATGCACATGGCTAGAGCAACTGCTAGAAGAATGGCAGAACTCTCTTCTTAAGGGAAGTTGGAGTGAAGCAGTAGCAGTGCAGGCAAGTTTGTTAGCGGTATTTTGGGAAGTGGTGTGGTAATGACTTTTTTCTCTTGTTACTGTAAGGGCTAACTATTTTGGCCTCATTGTATGGCCAAAATAATCAACTTTGAGGCTGAAGTGTACTAAGCATTGCATGGATTGTAAAGTTGGTGCTGTAAATCTGAAGGAATATACTTGGGTTTTGAAAGACTACAGGCTAACTACAACATATCTATTCTAGGACGTGGCATTTACTCCAACATGCTGGGATTTCTTGGTGGGGTTTCCTGGGCAATGCTTGTAGCAAAAACATGTCAACTCTACCCAAATGCTTTGGCTTCTACTCTTGTTAACAAGTTCTTCTTGGTTTTTTCAAAATGGTAAGAGCTATTGTTTGTTTTAATTTGCATAAAGAAGTAACACTTCTAGAGGTAGTTTTTTATATAAGATTTACATTGACAACATTCAAACCTACCATGGATTACGTGGCAGAGTTTTAAATGGATGGTTAGTTACTGGCTATTCTTCTATAGGGAATGGCCAAATCCTGTATTGCTGAAACAACCCGAAGAGAGCAATCTTAATTTACCAGTATGGGACCCTAGGGTAAGTAGACATGGAGTTTGGAAGTCTTTAAACTTTCTTCTAACCTAAACTGATACTAAGCAAAATTGTTTTAACATCATAGGTGAACCCATCAGACAGATATCATGTGATGCCTATCATCACCCCAGCCTATCCACAGCAAAACTCTGCATACAATGTATCTACATCAACCCGAGTGGTAATGGTAGAGGAGTTCAAACATGGTAAATTTCACGGTCAATGAAAACTACTTCTTTCCGTGCTTATTAACTGATCAAAAAGTATAATTCTTGCAATATGAAACCACATTATCTAAATTGGTTATATTCTGTGATATGTTCTGCCCTTTCAGGTAGAATAGGTCTCAGTGAAGTACTGAGGGCCTGTTGCAGGCAATAAGGGACCAGTTTGACAGTGAACTGTTGTAGTAGACCTGCATTGTGTCAAGGAAATTCCTGCTTTTTTATGTCTTACTGTTCAAAACCTTTGTCTTGTAAACTTTATCTCATGCTCTGCTAGTCTTAAACAAAATGGTAATAAGGTTTTCAACCTTAATTGTAGGTCTTGCAGTTACAAATGAGATTCTCCAAGGAAAATCAGACTGGTCAAAGCTCTTTGAACCACTGAACTTCTTTCAGAAGTATAAGTATGTATGAAATCTGTTGTCTGAACTTGAAATTATTTACTTACCTCACACCAGGACATTAGCATAGTGTGATTTAACTTGCAGTTTAAATAGGAGATGACATTAATGTTTGTTTTTCCAGAAACTGGAAGTAGTCATATGAATTTTGGTGAGGATGAGTATAGAGAAGATAGGAGGAAAAAAAGAACAGTATGTGTTAAGCTACTGATGCTGTTTTTACTAGAAGAAATCAGCTATGATATTTAGAAACCAGAACTGTATGTGTTAAGCTACTGATGCTGGTTTTTTTTAGAAGAAATCAGCTATGATATTTAGAATGTAGCAGAACAGTTGTAAAGGATGTAATCAGTTTTTCTTCAGTTAATACTGCGCTGAATACAGGATATAATCTGTCGTGTCTAGAAGTCGCATTCTATACATTTAAGGCAGTTTTGGCTTCAGCTGAAGGAATATATATATATAAAGTCCTGAGCTAGTATATTAATTTTTTTTCTTCTAGGCATTATATTGTGCTGACTGCTAGTGCCTCTACTGAAGAGCACCACTTAGAGTGGTAAGTTTTGCTTTAAATGTGGATTCAATACATAATTGAAACTCAATTCAATGTTGCACTTTTTTTAACTGTATTAACAAATCAAGTATTAAACTGTGCAACTAGGCATGGAACACTTTACCAAGTGAAGTAGACAGTTCACCAGCAAAATTAAAAGCTTTCTTGTGAAGGGAAGTTAACGTAAGTCTTGCTGTTTAAGAAGTTAACTTAAAGATTTGAGTCATGATGAGAAGGAACAAAGAGTGTTAGTGTATGTATGCCTGAAGGTCAGATACTCTGCATCATCTGGAGAAGCAGATGCAAGGAGCCTAAGGAGACTGCTTACCCAACACTACTTCAGTTAGGAAGATGTTCCTTGTTGTAGAGACTGAAGCAAATGGGAATTTCTTGATGTAACCAGATATGTCTCCAGACACTGGAGAGCTAAGTCTTTTACTGGCTTCTAGAGCACTAGTCTCCAAACTCTTTTCATCATGTACTCCTATTAGCAAAAAATTCTTGAACATGTACTTGCAATATATGTCTACTCATTTACAAGTCACATATGCATTACTGAAGTTCTAATACTTTCTTCCTGTACCCCAATGGATTTTCTTGTGTACCTCCTGGGGTACAGCCCCCCCTCACTTTGAAGACCACTGCTCTAGAGCCTTAGATTTGGTTTCATAACTTTTTTTACTGGATATAATATTTAATTTAGGACTACATTGCACCCAATGCTCTGGTTATGTAGTCAGCCTATTCCAGTGCCTACTTTTCTCCAATGAAGTGAAACAAGGCTGTTTAATCTGGGTGAAACCTGACAGTCAGCACAGAGCATTTGAGTGCCAATAAGTTTTAATGTAGTAGTGTGCTCAGACATCTTATGTGTAGTGCTGAATAAGATCCCTTCAGCAAGCTTGATAGTGGATAGGTAAATTGCAGGAGTGCTGATCTACTTTGTGAAACTTCATGTGAGAACCACTTCAATTGTAGTTAGAGAAGATGACTGCTTATGACATGATATTTGTCACTGTCTCAAGAGAGATATACTAATAATAACTACTTTAACCTATGTAAATTTGCTGGCTAACTGGGAATCTTGAAATAAGGGGAAACGGTGAGGAATTAAGGCACTGTAATGTGTGTGTTACTGACTTTGCAATGATACTAATTGTTAAGAAATGAGTGACCAAAGCTTGTTGTGTCTCACAGTAAAGATAAGGAAAGTTCTGGTTCCAGTAAAAGCTAATGTTTTTGCAGTGACAGAAATGGAGGCAAATGGGGCTTAGTTTTGCATCTGGGAAAACTAAAAAGAAGATAAACTTGCTTCAGTTTGTATGCTGTAAGATCAAGTTTAGTTCACCAACTCTTGAATGGATTTGGGAATAGATAGCCTTTGGTCATCAACATAAGATACTTTTGAAGAATGTACGGATTTCTGACTGCTTTCAAACTTAGCCATGTTTTAGGTAAAAGGGGTAACATGCCAGCACTTCATTTAAATGAAACTCCTTCATGGTCATGATTAATTTCTTGGGTAAGTTTCTGATGAGACTGACTAGATAATGTTTATTAAAGGAACTATATTTTTCAATTTGGTCAGAAGAAGGTAAACTTTTATCACTGATCAATCTGCAGGAAGAATTACATCTTTACTCAAGTGTAATTGAATAGTTGTGCTTGAGCCTTTTCTAAAGTACTATTTTCCTTGATCTTTGGGGTAAAAAAGAGTTTTGCTGCACTTAAAAATGCAGCCAATGGTGCTGGGATCTGCTTCTTGTTGATATTTTCATCATTGGTTATAGGTTGAAGTGTATCTGAACTGTTGAGAGTACAAGTTAAATTTATTTACCTCTGTTTTTGAGATGTTTCCAGTGATATTGGAGCTTTTGAAGTTTCCAATCTAGAGTGTGTGAAATAAAAATCTAGTATCTGTTCAGCTGCATGAAACTTACTGCTTATTCACTGGTTAGCATTTTTGTATTAACATTGTACTATAAAAATGCATGTAATTACTGTGCTGGATGCAGTGAAAAATGAGTAAATATCTCTTCTTATTAGGGTTGGCCTTGTCGAATCGAAAATCCGTGTGCTGGTTGGAAACTTGGAGAGGAATGAATTTATAACTATTGCACATGTAAAGCCACAGTCTTTTCCTGGTAACCAAGGACTCCATAAACAGTGAGTGTCATTATTTTTCTGAAATACAGTTTGGCCCATGTATTGTGATTTGTTTATATTCATTTACCTCAGCTCACCTGTGAGATGTTCAGTTAGCTATCTACTGTTTTCTAGGTACGAGCTCTAACAGGCAGGTTCTAAACATGGAAGACTTTTTTTTTTAAAGGGAGAACCTCAGAGAAGTACTCTGAGACCTTAAGTTTGGGCTGACACTAACCTTTAACGGCTGTGTACAACTAAACTGTTTTGCTTAAATCCTTCTTGAGAGTAGATACTAGCATCTAAGTAACTGCATAAATGATTTGTGAATCTCTTTTTAGGAGTGGATATGTGTCAATGTGGTTTCTTGGAATCATATTTAGGAAAGTGGAAAATGCAGAAAGTGTTAACATTGATTTAACGTATGTTATACAGTCATTCACAGATACAGGTAAGCCTATATTTTGCTCTAGTTTGTAGGGTTTCTTTTTTTGTTCTAGTGGAAATTGCTTCACAAAGTGAATTGTGCTGCTTTCTAGTACTAGCTATTAGATATTGCTATAGAGTGACATATAGAAGATTAGCTTTAAAAACTTACTATTTTGATCCTTTGGAAAAATAAGTTCATCTTAAAGTAAGTGTGTACTACAGTCATACACCATATGTGAAATAGCAGTTCTCCAGATCATAGTAAACACGCTTACAAAGGAACTGCATTTCATGAAGTGGATAGTCGGATGTGAAACCAGCAGACATCTGTTTACTGGGTGTAGCTACACTTGTCAAAAACAGTTTTTAGTTGCTGAGCTTTGGAAGTGGGAATTAATTGTATCAGGCTCTAAAATAAGTCAAACTTTGAAAGTCAGTGAGTTGTTGCATTGTAGTTACATCCAGTCTTGCGTGTAAACCTTCATGTTCATCTTCCATAACAGTTTGTGTATGATACAATCCCAAACTTTGAAAGTCAGTGAGTTGTTGCATTGTAGTTACATCCAGTCTTGCGTGTAAACCTTCATGTTCATCTTCCATTATTACTCTTGACAGATGTAGATATAAAGTAGTATTGCAAGTGTTGTTAGATAATACTAGAATAAAGGAGTTTAGGGGTGAAGAGTCATTTGAAAGTATAGGTCTCTTCCATAATCTGTTTACTTATTCCCAAGCTGACTGCTCTTGTGCCTTTCAGAAATACATGTGTGCTATCGGGCTCGTGCCTAGCTATCATAATGAAGAACTAAGGAAATAGGGTTACTCTTCTGAAGTGAAAAGTGTGTTTGGACAAAGTTCTAAACAGTGGACTCCTTTTAGATGTTTGTTTGCACTGATGAAGAGCATATGCATGGTACCAGCATGAGCTGTGTGTTGTCTTGCTCAGACAACATGAGTAAATGCAGTAAAACCTGACCTTCTTTTTGGCTTATGTGTTGGGATATGAGAAAAGCACAGAAAAATGCATCAAAACTCTTGTCTGAGTTTCAAGCCAGGCAGGGTGATTTTCTCAGACTTGGCACTGTTATCTGTGCTCGTCTTGTACATTACATCCAGTGGCACTGTGTTTCAGTGTTGTGGCAAATGTAAATTACTTCAAGGTTTAGGTACTGCTAAGAGGCTAGAACTAATGTTAAATCCTCTTTCTGTGCACAAACTATAGTGTAGCTATGCGCTCTTAGCTTAGTACGTTTCAGATACAGGGTTTGAATACAGAGAGATCCAACAGAAAAGATATTTCTTGAGGTGTGGAATCCTTCCGCAAATGTAGGAGTGCCCAGTAGTTATGTACAAGAAAGCAAGGAAAGCTTTAATCATGCGCCTTGAATTTGAGAGAACATTTCTAGGGGGCAAAGATTAATTTCAGGTTGATGGGGCTCAAAAACATAAGGCTTAATGGAAGGCTTTTGTTAAGTGAACTTTATCGCACTTTTACATAAAAACATTACTGAATTTACTTTGAAGCAACTGTTCGTATTGGTGTGAATGTTCACATTTGTGCTTTTATTTGACCTCTAGGTGTCCTGTAGAAAGACTTACAAGCCTTTTTGTTGCATGTCTTTTGATTCCCATTCCGTATGTTAGTAAGATGACTTTCCAGTTATACTCATGATAGGCCTGTTAAATGAGCTTATCTAAATGTGACTTAATCCTGTAATAACTGCTGTGCTAGTATAGCATTTTTAAGTTGCATAAAAGGCTGTTTGCAGACAGTTAAGAAAAAACTGTTTAAATTGTAGTGATTCTGATAAGTCAGATGTCCCTAAAATCCAGTCTTATTTTCTCGGACAGATAAAATTTTAACATCTAAACTACTGAGAAGTTATATGATGTTACAGAACTGTTACAAAAAACACATCACCACTGTAAATATCAAATTAGTCTGAATCTTGAGTAAGGTGTCTGGTCTCTCATCAGCTGTGCACAATTCAGTTGGTTCAGTTAAGTCTTCTAGATCTATTGTCGACCAGAAAACTAGTGGTTAAGGAGTACTATATCCTTCCGGTTAAAATCAACTCAGATTTGAGTTCTCTTTACTCACAACTCAGCAGCATGTGAGCTGCATGATTAGCAAACCACAGCTGTAACTGCACATAAATGCACATTTGCACTTAAATAGCTGTTACGTATCTGGTCTGTAATGGAGGTGAAATGAGCATCTTGGGTCACATTCATCTTCTTGAGATGATGTGTGTGTGGTGCTCGGGTAGCATTTTCTGTTTGGTTAGGCTGGAAACTTCTTGCTCTTCATTTGGGCTGGACCCACTTAAATACTTGCTGTTTCTAAAGAAACCATATGCAACTTTGACAAATACCTAATGCAAACGTGCCCACTAAGCTACAACACTAAATTTCATGTTAGTTTACAGGCAGGCTAACAACCTCAATGTGCTAAAGGAAGGTATGAAGATTGAGGCAGCTCATGTGAAGAGAAAGCATCTCCACTATTTTCTACCTGCAGAAATCTTACAGAAAAAAAAGAAGGTATAACAATAATTTGGATCTTCTGGCAATATTTTTTTGCTTTAGTAATTACTTGAAGACTTCATATTTTTTTTCCACTGTTTCAGCAAAGCATGCCAGATATTAGTCAAAATGCTAGTGGGCTTCAGTGCAGAAGGACTTCAGCTGGAAGCTGTTTGGACAGTTCCAGGGACACAGACTCCAGAACACCACATAATTCCTCTTCATTAAGTAAGATACCTAAATTGGACACCTCTACAGCAGAGATAGAAAGGTCAGCACCATAACCTTAGAACTGTGAAGAAGCTGCTTTTTAACTGACTTATGATGTGAATGAGGTCTAGGTTTCCTTGTCTGAATCTATGTGGATTGTAAGCATCTTCAGGAGCAAAGCTGGCTTCTCGTTTGAGCATGTGGTGAGAGATGGGTTAATTCTTTGAAAACATTAATTTAATGTATATGAACACATAGGAATGAAGAAGAACTTGATACAAGGGAAATTATTTGGTCTTGAACATAAATCCCCTTAGATTAGTGTGCAACTTGAAGCCAGAGTGTTTTATATGTAGGTAACTGTTCTTTCTAACTAAAAGTATGATTAATGCCTAGCACTGTTTAGTTCTAATGAAGTGCTGATCTTGATCACAGAAACATTAGAGCTGATGCTGACTTAGTAGAGCAGTATGAGAACTCAGGCAGTAACAGTGTCTCTCATTTCCTGGGAAGTCTGTTTGTTCATAAGTTATTTCAGCACAGGGGGAAATGTGTAATCTTGAGAGTAATAGCCCACTGTGTAGTGCCTGCTGTGTTCAGACTCTTTGGTACTGTAGGAGTAGCATGCAAAAAAAAAAAATGGGTGCACGTATGGATAGAGCAGATACGTTCATCAAAAGCAGCATAGAGTAGTGGATATACCAAGCTGGAAAACAGTACCAGTATGTAGAGACTCATTAAAGAAAATGCTTGAGTTTTAAATTCTCAGTCTGAAGTTCAGCAAAAGGTGATCTAGCACAAGATCTTTATGGTAGTTTGTGGGGTTTAGTAGAGCTGTGACAATGAGCTAAGAAGGAAATGTTTGTCTTGCATGAACTTTCTGGAAATTAAATGTATAGTATTTTAGACTAGCATTTTATAACTCTAGCATCTGACTTTTACAGAGATGCTGTATATCAGAGATCTAATGCTGGTAACAATAGAGAGAAGAGATCTCATGTAGCTGTGCCATCAGTGTCTAAGGGACTCTCCATTCCTGTTATTGATTCAAGTATGTATTGAAGTAGTGGGTGGAATGCAGTCTTTAATTTCATTGCTGTACTCTAAAAGCTCAGTGTCTCCTACAGAAATGCAGGCTACAGTTGCAATAAGAACATCGGGACCTCCAGTTGGTTGCACCATTCCAGGACATAACACAGTTTCTCAACTCAGAGCACACTTTGTCCAAGGACAGCATGAATTAAGTGGGACCCCAATTACAGATCCTAAGAATGCTGCACCTAAACGACCTTATTCAACAACCTCTAAAGGATGTCATTCACCTACATCAGAAGGATGCCCCAAAAAAACAAGAGATGGAGAAAAGGTAAGGAAGCGGGGCTAGGCCGGGGAGAGTTTGAAATAGTATTAATTATTGATGTAGAATAAATGAAATAACTGAGAAGAAACACCTATACAACCCCAATGGATTCAGGAATCTAGATTTTAGGTATAATTATAGTTTTAGTAGGATATAGATATGAGAAATTGTTTTGGATATAATGTATACCTATTAAACAAATTTTTTTCCAGGTTCTGGCACTAGTGACTGTTTCTGGTCTGGGGGCAGGGTCAGTCTCTAAATAATACTGTGCTTATATGTTACTGCACTGACCAATTGCTGAATGCACTGTCTCATTTGGAAGCAGTACTTAAAACAACTCAGAAAAATATTGTCTGCAAAATGAAGAGGATACATTTTGCAAATGTAAAAGTATGAGCTAATCTTGTTCTGGCAGATGATTTTTGAATGCCTCTTGATAATTGCTTTAGAAATCAGCAGCCTACTCAACAGACTGTCCACTGCTGAAATGATACTGTGGTGTTTCTTAACTCTTGTTTTGGTGGAAGCTTTAGATTAATGCTTGATTTGTTTTACTGCTGTATATAAATCTCCTTAAATAGCTGTTCTTGTGGCTTCAGCTCTGATTTGAGGCAGGGGCAAAGAACAACTAAAAAAAGCTCAATTTTAACACTTGTAAAGAATCGAATTGCAGAATTGTTACCGAGTATTGAATATTTCAAGGTTTGGGTAGTAAGACTTTTTGACAGGCTTGAGATTCTGCGTGGGTAATGGTAGTCTTGTCTAAATGTTGTTTTAAGAACGGCCACTAATACTTTAATGTGTTGACTGGAAGCTGTACCCATAGATGAAGGTAACTTTAGCATAGCAATTATTTTGAGTCTCTGTATTCTGTTCTTCTAGTTAACTGGCCAGGATTCAGCATTCAAAGATGGTGGCAATCCAGAAGATGTCAGGAGAAGAGCTACAGAAAACGTAATTTTGAAGTAGTTTTACTCAGACTAATTGAAAAGCTGAATGGACTGTTGTAGTGCCTAGATTACTTCACACAAGTACTCCACAAGTTTATTGATGTAAACAAAAATATGCTTTTGACTTATTTCAGTCTTCATTACCCAAATATTGCACTTGTATGACCTATCTTTTGAAAGTTACTACTAGATGATTTGGTAGTGTCTAGCTTCTTGCCATGCTTGAAATCGGATTTTATTTTTTAAGAACCACTTGATTCATTGATGTAAACTAAAACTGCTATAAAGACTAAAGCATTTCATGTCTCAAAGGGAGGATAATGAGCTCTATATTTAGTGTAGCTTGCTACTGAAGCATAAACTTCTAAGGATACAGTCTCAAATCAAGATGTGGTCTTGTTGGTAGAGTGAAGGTTGAAATACCTGAAAAGCTTTGTGCTTATATGGCTTAAAAAAAAAAGAGGTTGGGGTTGTCAATGCATGTATGTATTTAGTTTTTAAGTATCCTAGCTGTCAGACCTTGCAGTCTCTCAATTTGTGAATTTGACAATGTTGCCTAATGAATCCTTTCTGGCTTTTTTAGGTTGTCGTTGGAGGAAAACCCATGCTGATTCCAATTATCAACACATCAAGATCACAGGTATTTATTGTGCCTTTGTATTCATAGGTAAAACAAAACTAGAATTTTCATTTTATGTACTGTTAATCCCTATAGACTTGGTGGTTCTAAATAGGTGATAAGCTTTTGCATATCATGCTTCCACCAAATTGTTTAGATGAACAATGACCTTCCAGGTTTACTCACAGAAGTGAAGCCAAAGCTTCCAAGTTATTGACTTGAAAAACCATGTTTCCCTGCACTTAAACACTGACACAGTTTGTTTCCTGATTTGCTTTTTTCTTAAGCAAAAAGATCTGTACACTTTGCAGATCTTCTATAAGGTGATTTGAGCTCTCATTAAGTACTTGTATACTGACTTCTGTGACCAGACTTGGAAGCGTTGAAGTGTATAAGTGGTTTTAATTCTTTTGTCATGTACAATATTTTGAAATTGAGGGCTATAAGATTGGAAGTAATCTGGACAGTAGAGACACTGATCCATGGATCCAAGAAGAATGGTAGCTGCTTCTATTATGCTGTTGAGCAACTTGAAACTTATTTCATCCACTCTCAGAAATATAATTATCTCAATTGATGCCAGGAAGGAAGTGTACAGAGGGGTAAAATGCTCTTGCTCTATAAAATGGTTGTAACTAAACAGGTGGGGGTGGGGAAAAAATCCTTCTCTATAAATATTTGGGTTTGGGCCATACTTTCTCAGTACATAAAGAATGTTGTTATATTCAGCTAGGAAAGGGTTTATCTGCTGTTCCTTCTGAATTAATGAATTTAAAACTTCTTTTTTTTCTGTGGCATCTTTTTGTGTGTTGTAGAGGCTTTCCAGTAAAGAACTACCAGATTCTTCATCTCCTGTTCCAACAAATAGTATTCGTATTATTAAAAGATCCATCAAACTTACCCTTAATGGGTAACCAGTATCTCTTCAGGTAAAGATGATTATTGCTTCTTTAGTAACTACAATACACATTGATAGTATGGATCACTAACAAAGTATGGAAGATCACTGTTGTCAAACTGCAATTGACCAGTTAAAATCGTGGTCTTATTTTATAGTATTATTAGATGCTTGCTTCCTTTGAGCTACTCTTTGCATATTCTTGTAACAGTTATCTTTATTAGTCTTTTAAAAAGTCTTAACTGTCACTAGCTGAAAGAGCTTTTCAAAAAGCCACAAAAAAAACCTGTCCTGTGACTTGGATTCAGAATGTATATAAACAGGGTTAGCTGGTCACTGCAACCACGTTCTGGTTTCAAGTGTGTATGAATGTGCTTGTATTCATTTGTGCTTTCCTAGTTCATATGCATATATTGTTCTTATCTTAAATTATTTTCCCGTTTGGCACATATGCTCCTGTGCATCTATCACAATGGTGCTCAGCTTTCTCAGCTAGTACCTTTCCACTGTCTAGCACAGCCATGCACTACACAAGTATTGCCTCCTATGGAGGCCCATAAATAATTGAAATATTGAATAAAATACAGCAGAGGATGCTACCAAGGTATGGAGATGATAGATGTGTCCCATGCCATGTTATCTGATTTTTGTCTTAAGACTGCTCCAGCATGAGACTTGAGGTGTTGTTTGTTGTCACTGGGTAGTAAAGCTAAACTCAGAACACACAGCTGAAGATGCACTTAAACATGGCAACAGGTGAGGCAGTTGTGACACTACTACCCACCTGCAAGCTGCAGTCTTGAAAGCAACTGGCATGCAGAAAATCACTTCAGACAAACCCTGAAAGCTGTTCTAAATGGTTATGTGAAAACTTGTAGTAGTCTTAAGTCTGGTTCTGTAAACTGATAACACTGCTTACCCAGTTAAGTGCATTAGGGTTTTTTGAGAGGTAGGGAGAAATTCTGATCATATGAAACAAATGTTATGCTACCTCTCTATTGTAACTTCTTTATAATTTGATGCTTTTGTAAATGAAGTTATGTGTTTTCCAGAGTATTTTTGTATGTATTGTAAAATACTGTCTTTCAAAGAGAAATTGAAAATCCTCTGTGTGTCTCTTTTTTTAATGCAGGTTGGATCTGCTTAAACACAAACAACTAAACCAAATGTAAGGGGGGGGGGGGGGGGGGCAGTGCCACAAAAAATACGTTCTACAAAATAATGTCATGCTAGAGTAAATTTGAGACTAGGAACACTGCTTTCCTGCTTCTAGTATTTCCAGGTTTTGAATTAATACCCTCTGAATAGTGCAGTTGGCAAACTGCGTTGGCAGCTGAAGTCCCAGTTTGCTATGTGGACAATAGATAACCCTAAATTCTTCTAAAATTAGGTGCTTGGCTTAAACAACAGTTCTGAGCTCTCGTCATATTAAGCATCCACCTAAAACCCTAGTGACAAGACCAGAAGACTGTAAAGGAATAAGAGGCATGTATCTTGTGAGGTCTTCATTCTCTAGCATTCCACCTACTGCTAGTATTCCAAACTTGTGGAGAAAGCATGACTACTTATCACAATATACTTAGCTTTTTTTTTTTCTTCCTTATTACCTCTGGTTTCCAGCTTACTTCAAGTGCAATTTATCTCTTAGAAAATTGGCCTGGGTGGATTTGAGAGGTCTTATTCTTCCTTCTCCCCTCCAAGACCCCCAAAATTAGACTGCAAGGCTTCGGTTTAGTCACAGGTTAAAATTAAGAAACAGAAGCTATATTACGTAAGTGGCTTTTAGCAGAACTACACCTTGAATTTATAAAATGGTTACCTTGTTTTTGACCTGTGTTAAAACCATGGTATTTAAATATTGTCAAGTCTGTGTACTAGTTACAGTATGTATGCAACTTCAGCACCTGTGTAAATAAAAATTCATCATGAATTTAAAGGCATTAAAGCTGAAATAGGTGATAAGATAAACAGCAAAGTAAATATGAAAAGTCAGTGTTCTGTAATAGTCTACAACCCTGTAATATTACCATGCATTTAAACATTCTTCCACTGCAGTATTCCAAAGCTGTTAAGGACTGTTTTGCCCTTAACGATTATGTCAGCACAGGCATTTGTGCAACTAGTCTCAAACTAACCTAGCTAATGGATATCAAACTATATGGCTTTACATAATTTTTTTCTTTTGCTTTACAATTATCTTCTAATTGCTCTTACTGTTTTTTTTCCTCCTTACTCTTAGGCTTTTAAGAAGACTGTTTAGGAAGAATTTAAGTTACTAGTTTCTTGGATTTGATCCAGCATAGGTGAGATTACACAGTTTACACTAATATACCCTGACTCAATGCTTTGCCTAGTGCAAATCACTGTTCTAGAGTTTCCCTGGATGTTGCAGAAGGATTAGATTTCAGCTGTTTTGAATAAAGTTCAAACTGCAACATTCAACTCAAATGTTTTCTTTTGTTTATGGAGCGAGTCCTCTGTTAAAGTAACTGAAAGGAAAGTTACTCATGCATCGAGACTGAATGAGGGAGGTTCTTTGCAGAAAATCTGATATCAAACTGCTGTTTTCTATCTGCATTCTGAGTTGGTTGCTGTATATGTGGCTTGGAGGTCCAGATGGAAGGGGTGAGGGCTGCATGATCAATCTCCTTAAAGAGGAGCAGCTCTATATTGAAATTGTGTATGGTTAGTAACTTTGAGCAAGAAATTCCATTGCTGGACTAACATCTATGGTTTTGCTTATTAGGTATAAGCAAAGAAACAGTTAACGTAAAGTCACCTACAGTTCTACTGTTGCAATGGATGTCCTTGTAGAAATAAAGAGAAAGTAATAGAATACTTATTCTTTGCTTTAATGAGTAAAGAGCAAAAGGGGGGGGAAGGCGTATCTTGAAATTGTTCATCTTGACTGTGGGAGGGAAGGGGCTTTTTAATACTGCCTTTATGTAATACTTAGTGACATAACCTGTTCAGCCTAAAAACACAAGCGAAAACTCCTAGCTGTATTTTTGCAATTACCTCATCACACTTCTTATAAACAGTCTGGTTTTGTGCATTATTCCAGTAACTGGAAAGATGTGGTTGTAGTGTGCTATGTGTCTGTGTGCAGCTGAGGGGCAAACAACTACTCTGAGCTGGAGGTACTCTGTGTCCTGTCTCCAGAGGAAATCAAATGGCTGTAGGTGCCCCCTTGATCTGAGTAGTAAGCTGATCCTGTGACAACAGGCATCTTCTCCCACAGGACCACCCACTGGGCTGTAGCTTCGTCCCTCCATCCACCCACTGCAGAGGGGCTGTGGGGGCTGCGTGCCCTTTCCCTAGTGGGGAGGGCTGTCGGGGTGAAGGGGAGCTGTGGCCCAGGCTTCCTACGCTGGGACGGGTTTCCTGCCGTAAGACCTGTGGCTGGGGGCCGAGAGCTGCGTGTGCTGTGACGGTGTTGGCATGTGACTGCACCGTTACAGTGCTCTGGGAAACACCACTGCAGCCCTGTGCTGCCTGCAACCCCTGAGCACTGGCCTGGAGGGGCTGGGGGGACTAGCTGGAGCCCCCAGCTTCCTGGCCAGCTCTGCTGTTGCTCTGCCTTTTCTCAAATCCCACTGGGCTAATCTGGGCTAAGCGGAGTACAGTGGGGTGTTTTCCAGCCCCAAGCTGAGTGGTGGGCTGTGGAGCACTCCTTGCTGCCTCCTAGCATGCTGGTTGGCATGGACTGCCCTTTGCTGTAGCTGAGGGTTTTTTTCAGCCATCATCTGCCCCTGGGGTGGCAAGCTCTGAGCGTGGCCCAAGGGCTCAGGGCTCCAGGCTGCTGGACCTTGTGTATTTTTTTCTGGGAGGATCTTGGCAAAACAGTCTGGGGGCTGATTTTCCTCTTGTTCCAGAAGATACAGCCTGTTGACCTCTCAGCTGTATGACCTTCAAGAAATGGATAGAAATCAAGAAAATCAAACTGGGAGTACTTGTCCTTGGGCAGTTCCTCTTTGCTGGGAAGGCCCTGTCTGAATCATCCTGCTCTCTTCAGCCAACCTTGTTTCTTATTCACACCTCATCTCTTTTGATTTTGTCTGATCTCAGACTCTTGCCTGTCTTCTGTTCTCTCTGATAACTTAGATATTCCTTTCTTGCCCAAATCGGTCTTTGCTTCCTATGCACTTGAACTGAGTGGTACTTTGTTCTGTGCTGATGGAGTAAAAGAATCTGAGGAGCCCTGAAACCAGGGGAGAAATAATTTACCCTGTTTCAGTTTTAGTGTGTGGCAGCCTGGCAATCAGCTGCTTACTGCGGGGACCATCCAGCTCAGTCTCTGCAGTATGGGCAGTGGAGAGAAAGCTAAAAATTCTTGGCTGCTAAGCAAGTCTGGCAAGCATGTCCAAGTTCAATCTTTTTAAAGGTTCAACACATGCCTAAATATGTGTGGTTCTTCAAAGGAAGAGCAAAAAGTCCAATAGTGACAGCAGCACAACCTCTGTGCTAAATTTGATGTCCCTGTTTCGGAAATGTGAAGAAAGTAAGGGTTTCTTAATAGAAGTTTTAAGAATTCTTTGAATATAATTAAAGCAGCATATGTTCCCCATGACTCATTCTTAGAAATGACTGAGTAATTTTTCTTCTGTTTTTCTTAAAAATCAGTGCAGTATATGTAATCATACTCCAAAGAAAAGTTTTTGGCAAACTTGGAGTAACTGAAAATGTAGCCTAAAAAAAGGAAGTGTTGACTAGCTATAACAAACAAAGTGCATTGATGGCAATATGATAAAAATAAAACATAGTACCTACTTGCTAAAGCATTAACTAAAGCAAGAAAATGCTAGAATTTATTTGGTCCCTGCAGTTTTAATTCTTTTCTGTTTTTCCTGTGTGGTCAATTAGCAAGAACAAAGTTATAAACACTATATCCAAGTGCATGCACTCAAACAGAAAAGCTGAGGTTTTGTGGATCGCTTGACATATAAGTGCTTGGCTGTATGCCTTCAGCATGTTTTAGTATGTTTGCGATTTTTGTTGGATTGTTTTTCCTGTCAT